TAATGCCGCGGGGGTCGGGGGGCGCTCTAGCGGGCAGGTTTGGCGATATATAACGGATCTCTTTGAAGTGGTGTGACGTCACATCACTGAAGAGCGCATGCGTGCAGATGACTATGGAAAAGGGGAGGGGGAGGTAGCTAACGCACAGCGAAAGCCTCGAGGGCAATGAGCGACTAGACAGTTTTATCGACGTGCGTATAGACCGCCCCGCCTCGGCCCCGCATCGCATGGACTGGACCTCTCAGGGGGGGGGGGGGGTTGGGAGGGGCGGAAAGGCTAAACCCATAGTCTCCATCCGCCGTATACACCGTGTGTTTATTGGAATAGTGGGCCCCGGAGGAGCAGGTTAGCAAACGAACGCAACGGAGCAGGGGGAATGGAGGGAGGAGAGAGAGAGAGAGGGAGGGGGGGGGGAGATAGGGCGGGAGGAATAGCTCGCGCCGGACCCACACTGCACTATCGTCCGCAGGAATTTTTCATATCCCCATCCCCTCCCTACACTTTTCGCAGAGCAGCAAGCGGAAAGAAGGCACCGTTTTGTCCGGTGCTGCATACCTTCGCACAGCGCCGCTCCAATACTCGACGGGGTATAGCGCGGTCCAGAGAGGGTGGAAGGGGGGGGAGGGGGGGCGCGGCTCGAATCGTCATCATGGCCTCGCCGCTCTTTTCTCCCCGCGGCACATCCTGTTCCTGTCCTTTTGCCGCTCGCCCCTCTCGGCTCCTCCGGCTCCTCCGGCCCCGGCGGTCCCCCGGCCTCCGGGCGGAGGGGAGCGCCCGCGGGGTAGGCCGCCGCCCCGGGCCTATAGGCGTGCCGGTCGGCCGGGCTGGCCTACCCTGTCGCCGACAGGCGCTCGGGCGGGGAGGCGGCGGGGTAGCAGCGGTGCGCGGGCGGGGCCGCAACCGCAGCGGCTGCAAGTGCGAGTGCAGGCATCCACCACACCGCAGCAGCCGCCCCCGCCCTTGAACGGGCGCAGACTCCCGGGGGCAAGGCGGCAGGGTGGAGCGGAGCGGACTCGGCCCCGAGCACGGCGGCGACGCGACGCCCGGGCTCCCCGCAACTTGATTAGGCGGGTGGCTGGAGGCGTGAGCTGGAGATACCCGCCCAGAGTCGCTGGCCGACCCACCCCTTTCGGTGCCCGGCGGGTCCAGAGGAAAAGGGGGGACGCAAGGCGGAGGGGGGGGGGCGGCTCCTTGTCGATAAGCTTTTTAGGTGCGCGGTCGAGCGGGTGCGGTCAGGCGGGTGGCGCCCCAAGGCCGTGCCTGGAGTGGTCTGGACGGGTCTCTGGGCGATCCCTGGACGGGCCGCTTCTGGAACTCCCGGGACAGCGCCCCCGCACGCGTCGCCAACGGCCAACGGGATTGGTATTGATCCTCGTTCACCGCTGGGACGGTTGGACGGCCCTTAGGGCACGGCTGGGCGAACACCGGCGGACACAGTCACGGGTAGGTATTTTAATTACTGAAAATCCCGTAGTTGTTTCCTGAGAAGTTTCATTTTTCAAATTCTGGAGATATTTCATTTTTTTCCCCGTCGTTTTGGAAAAGTCTCAAATTTTCCTGGAAAGATTTCGGACTTTGAAATGCCTAGCATACGCTCGAGACTTACTGCCTCTCCCTCACGGGACATAACGCACGAGTCGGCCGGCCCGGTGAGCCGAGACCCGACCCGCAGGGCTTTGCTTATTTTAGCGCCGCCCGCGTCGTGCATCTCCCGAACGACATGAGCGCCGTGTTTTATTGCGCGGGTTGGACAGCCGCACCGGAGCGGCGGCCGTCGGCCCTCGGGACGAGGAGAGCGGGGTGACTGGTGGTTAAAGTATTTCGGGCAGAGTCCCATCGCCGCAGCAGGAGGATCGACCCGTAATAGGCCCGACAAGGTGGAAACGCCTAGAGGTTTGGCCGGGTCCCGAGGGCCATAGCACGCCAGGAAAGGGAGGCCCGTTGATACCGGTTTTAGTAGAGGGTCCCTAACCCTGGGGG